GACCCCTTTACTCCAAAGGGGCCACCCTGAAGGAGCTGCAAGGAGCCCCTGGGGCTCGCAGCCAGGGCAGGATGTGAGGCAGCCCACAGGCAGCTTCCAAACGTCTCACCCCGGTTCTTCTGCAGCGCTCGGCTCCTAAGGCAAGGGGCAACAAACCCAAAGCGTAACAAACCCCAGCTGTGGTAAAGCCAAGCCCTGATTTAAGGTGGATCCCACCCGTTCTTGCTGCTTGGTGTCAGCTTTAAGGTCTCTGGGTCGCCACCAGCAGAGGGTTGTACCACAGGAAGAGCTGACTCAACCCGAGCGGCGCTGGCCGTGAGCAAGGCACCACCAGACCCGCAGAGAACTGCTATAGGTAACGCTAGAAAGACGTTGAACACAAGATTTCCTGGCCTTGCTGATGCCCATAAACCGCCCTTTCAGACCCTGAGGGAAGCCCTTTAGGGTTTGGGATCAGAGCATCCTCCGCGGCACCGGGATACGGGACCACGGGCTCGGAGCGACTCTGCCGCGGTCCTTCAGCCGTTCACTGTGGCTCTGCGAATGGCCCCATCACTTCCAAACCAGTTCTCTTACTGGGAAGCTGATCTGGAAGCTGGCTCTTCCCTAGATTAAACCCCATCCGTGTCTCTTGAAGGCCAGCGCATCCTTAGCTGTCGGCCCTACACCTGCATCCTCTCCTGGGAAGCTCTTCCCTGCCTTTTGCCCCTGGCACGGGGACGACAAGGAGGGTATTTGCAGCAGGAGAAGCTCTTGTGCTGCTCAGCAGAAGCATCACTTCCCCTTCAGCTCCCGAGAAATGAGGCCAGGCCCTAAAGCCCGGGCTCAGTGGGGCACCATTGCCCAACCCTGGTACCTCGAGCCTGGCCCCAGCAGCATCTTCCCCTTCTCTGCCCTCAGCCTGGCCCGTTGCAATGCAACATCTGGGCAACCGGATGATCTTAAGCTCCTTTCCAACCCCAACCTGGGGCTCTATCAGGTACCCCTCAGTGAGACCGACCATGGGTCGATGCCCCGGCCTCCCGGCACGCCGTCCCTGCCCCTCTGAGCATCGCCAGCAGCTTTGGAGCAAGCCAATGCAAGGTTTCCCCTCCATCACCCTGGTTCCTCATCGCCTCTTCCTGCCTCAGCAGCCCTGGCATTTACAGTGGGGCTCAGCCCCCAGCCGACAGGAAGCACGAGCGAGGTCGGGTGCCCTAAATAGCAGAAGGGATTAACGAGGGCATTAATGAAGCACGAAGGGGAAAGGGGAGGGGGGGAGTTTCCACTTCGTAGGGGATGCACTGAAGCGGAAGCCAAGCGCGGCGCGAAGCTGGGGTGTCTGAGAGCAGGGACCGAGCGTGGATGCGGTAGGGTGCGAACAGACCCAGCTTTAGAGGGTGATGTCAGTAACCCAGCCTCATCGTGAGAGGTGGCAGCTTCCAGGCCCTCAAACCCCTGCTTTTTTGGGTGAGAAAAGGGCAATTCTATTGAACTTCCGCCTGCTTATTGCTTCAACCTGCGCAAGAAGGAAGTGCTAGCGATGGAAGTGTCACAATCCATCACAGCGGATGGAAAGCAAGGAAAGGAGCCTCCGAAGAGCACCAGGAGGAGGAACTGAAGGCACTAAAAAGCCATAAACCTGAAGGAAATCTTTCATTCCAGCCCTTTTGGCTTTGCAAAAGAACAAACTCGACCTCCGGAAGAGATGGGGGCTTGTGGCTCTTGCGCCCCACTTGGATTTGGTGTCTGGGTCACGTTCCGCAGGGGATTTGGGGTGGCATGGCACAGCCTCTTTGCTCTAAAGGCCCTCAGCTGTTATCCCTGCACGGGGCTGTGTCTGAAGGGAGCTCCGATCCAGATGGATGCTCAACGGAGCATCCTCTCTCCTGGTGAAGTGCTTGGTGAGACCCAGATTGCAGGGCAACAAAACACACTTCGATATAAGGTTCTGTACAAGCATCTTTAGAATCTGGGGGTGATCGTGAGCCACAGCAGCTCTCTGTTGGCTGATGCCTTCTCAACCCAGGACAAAGGACAAGACACCAAGGGCTCTGGCACGAGGGGTTCCTACTCGGGTGGTACCGAGACCTCTAGGATGCTTCACTGGGGTCACCCCCATTCAAACTCCATCCATAGCTCGGCCTTGCACCTCTGAGCACAAGGACCTTGGCAGAAGGACTGGAGCTGATCCTGCACCCGGAGCAGCCCGAGGTCCTCCAAGCCTCTCAAACAGGGGGGCCGCATCCTTCCCTCTGACATAAGCCAGCACCCAGGCCGAACCCATGACATAAACCCATCTTAGCCCCATAGAACTTCACAGTCCTGCCCATGGGAACCCCTTCTAGAGGCACTTGGAGCTGGTTTCCAGCAGCCACATCCCCCCCCCCCCCCCGGGGCTCCCAGCCTGGTTCACCCTCTCGTTTCCCCCCCGAAGCTGCCCCGACAAAGAGCGTTCAGGCACCATCCAGAGGCCAGCACCTACCGCTTGCTTCTGGCTCCCCCATAGCTGACCCCACAGCCGCTGGGCTCGGCAGCAGCGCGACCCCAAAGGGCTCCGCTCCGGTTCGCAGCCGGTGCGAGCCCACCCCAAAGCCTGGCTCAGAGCGGCTGAGGAGGGAGGCTCCAAAGGGCCATGAGGGCTGCGAGCGAAGGGGTCCGGCTCCTTCGGGGCCCCGACGTAGCTTCCTGCAGCCGCGGCGAGGGCTCGGCGGGCAGCGCCGGCTCCTTCCCTCCTGCGATTTGCATAACTCGGATGTGCCGGGGTGCGGAGCACGGAGGGGATGGGTTGGGTGCTGCGGGGGGGGGGGGTTCCTGCTTTCAGAGCCCTCTCTGCTGCCTCGGAAACAGCCCCGAGGGCCCGCAGGCACCGAGCAACCCCCGCGGTGCCGGCGGTACGGAAGGGAGAGGGCTCCTGGGTTAAAAGAGGGGATGGAAGGAGGGAAGGGAGCGCCTGGCCTGAGCCTCCGCTCCCCATCTCTTTGATGGGAGGAAGGAGCTCTTTACCGTGAGGGTGCTGAGGGCCGGGGATGGGTTGAACGGGGAAGGTTCGGGTACCCGGTCCCTGGCTGGGTTTGGAGCAAGCTGCCCCATGGAAGGAGCCCCTGCCCCTCGGCACCCATCACCCATGGGCAGAGGGCAGTAACCACGGCACTCGTTGGGCTCACGGCCTTGCCCTTGGTGCTGGCGAGGAGCAGCACGGGGCAGGAGCTCGGGGAGGAGGGGATGGAACGCAGCAGCTCGGCCCCTTCGGCTGCGCCAGGAGCTGGAAGAGCTTCTGAGCACCCAACCCCTTGGTCTGGGTCCTGAATACGCAGCCCCGCGCGTGGAGTCGGAGCTGAGCATCTCGGCACCGCTGCAGCGCATCCATTGGGAGGCTTTCCTTTGCCCATGAGAGGGTTGGGGCTGGTTTTCCTGCTCCTCGCAGAGGGCAATGGGAATGTTCACTCCATAGGCTGCAAAGGGGCTCCTGGGTCTGTTTTTCCTGGCTTCTTTCATTGGGAAGTGAAGAGAAGGAGCTAAAGCATTGATGCTCTTAATGATGATGGCACTTTCCTGGTGCTCGCAGGTTCCCTGCTCCCAGCTGCTCCCTGTGCCTTCCTTGGCCACGCAAGAAGCAAGAAAAGGGCAATTTTGGGGTTCAAAACAGGAAAAATATGATTCAATATGGTTAAATATTTAATATGGTTAAACCGAAACGGGGAGGGCTGCTGAAAGTCCCTGTTAAATACTACAATGCCAGACCATGGCACCCAAGGCTCTGCCCTTGGATGCTGCTGGGATGGGGCATCCACCACTTCTCCATTCAACCCATGCCAGTGTCCCAGCACCCTCCCAGGGCAGAACTTCCCTATCTCCAACCTGAACGTCCCTATTTCAGCCTGACCCCATCACCCCTTGGCCTATCCCTGATGCAGGTCCCTCCCCAGCACCCTTGCAACCCCTGTCAGGTACAGTTCCACTCGTGCCCGTCAGCCCGCAGCCCCCCTCCTCCAGCAGCTCTGTCACCTGAAAGCACTTTTGGGGCTTTCTTTGTGCCTTTGTGCCCAGCATCCCTGCATGGAGCATCCCTGCATGGAGCATCCCCGCACGGAGCATCCCTGCATGGAGCATCCCCGCACGGAGCATCCCCGCATGGAGCATCCCCGCATGGAGCATCCCTGCATGGAGCATCCCTGCATGGAGCATCCCTGCACGGAGCATCCCTACATGGAGCATCCCTTCATGAAGCATCCCTGCATGGAGCATCCCCGCATGGAGCATCCCCGCATGGAGCATCCCCGCATGGAGCATCCCTACATGGAGCATCCCCGCATGGAGCATCCCTGCATGGAGCATCCCTACATGGAGCATCCCTACATGGAGCATCCCTACATGGAGCATCCCTTCATGAAGCATCCCTACATGGAGCATCCCTACATGGAGCATCCCTACATGGAGCATCCCTGCATGGAGTAATCCCCGCATGGAGCATCCCTGCATGGAGCATCCCTACATGGAGCAATCCCTGCATGGAGCATCCCTACATGGAGCATCCCTACATGGAGCATCCCTTCATGAAGCATCCCTACATGGAGCATCCCTACATGGAGCATCCCTGCATGGAGCATCCCTACATGGAGCAGTCCCTGCATGGAGCATCCCTACATGGAGCATCCCTACATGGAGAACCCTACATGGAGCATCCCTTCATGAAGCATCCCTACATGGAGCATCCCTACATGGAGCATCCCTGCATGGAGCATCCCTACATGGAGCAATCCCTGCATGGAGCATCCCTACATGGAGCAATCCCTGCATGGAGCATCCCTACATGGAGCATCCCTACATGGAGCATCCCTACATGGAGCAATCCCTGCATGCAGCATCCCTGCATGCAGCATCCCTACATGGAGCATCCCTGCGTGGAGCATCCCCAAGGATGCCAAGTCCCTCCTGAGCATCTCTATGAGGGGATTTCTTCCCTGTAGGACTTGCTGGGTGAGAGCTGGGCTGGTCCAGACCTTAGAGCAGCTCCAGCACCTAAAGGGGATATAGGAAACCTGGAGAGGGGCTTGGGATGAGGGATGCAGGGACAGGACCAGGGGAATGGCTTTAACCTGCCCGAGGGGAGATGGAGATGAGCTCTTGGGCAGAAGCTCTTCCTTGGGGACACTGGGATGGGTTGAATGGAGAAGGTTTGGATGCCCCATCCCTGGCAGTGTTCAAGGCCAGCTTGGAGCAAGCTGCTCTATGGAAGGTGCAGGGGGGTGGAACTGGAGGAGCTTTAAGGTCCCTTCCAACCCACCCCACTCCATGCCTCTGTGAATTCCCATTTTGAGCTGCTCAGGGAGTCATTCCCCAAATTCTGGTCTTTCGCAGTTACTTTTCTGCTCGCTTTTTTGGTAGATAAATGGCAAAGACCTTGGGGTGAGGTTTTCCCTCCCCCAGCTCCTAGGAGCGATGCAGATGTTGCTGTCCTGGAGATGCTGGGTAGGGGCATCGGCCCCTTCTTTGAGCCCCTATTCCAAGTCTTCCCCTTCCTCTTTCCTTTCCTTGCTCTTCACCTCCACCTTCTTGTCCAGCTTGTACTTGAGGCGGCGGATGGGGTCCGTGATGCTCCTCCTGCTCCGCTTCTCCCAGTCCTCTGCCAGGAGAAAATTCCTGTCCACCAGCTCGGCGGCCTCCTGCCAGCTCCGGAAGCAAGCGGGCCCCATGCTCCGGATCTCCTCCACGGCATTCCCGGCGATCACCTCCCCGCTCGGCTTCAGCACCACCACGGCTGGCACCTGGGCTACGGCGAAGCGCAGCTCCAGCTCCCTGCCAGGCAAAGGGGGAATGAGCCTCAAATGGGGAAGGGGATCCTCCCTGCTCCTCATCCTCGCTGCTCCTCATCCTCGCTGCTCCTCATCCTCCCTGCTCCTCATCCTCCCTGCTCCTCATCCTCCCTGCTCCTCATCCTCGCTGCTCCACATCCTCGCTGCTCCTCATCCTCCCTGCTCTTCATCCTCCCTGCTCCTCATCCTCCCTGCTCCTCATCCTCCCTGCTCTTCATCCTCGCTGCTCCTCATCCTCCCTGCTCCTCATCCTCCCTGCTCCTCATCCTCCCTGCTCCTCATCCTCCCTGCTCTTCATCCTCCCTGTTCCTCATCCTCCCTGCTCCTCACCCTCCCTGCTCTTCATCCTCCCTGCTCCTCATCCTCCCTGCTCCACATCCTCCCTGCTCCTCGTCCTCCCTGCTCCTCATCCTCACTGCTCCTCATCCTCGTTGCTCCTCATCCTCGCTGCTCCTCATCCTCGTTGCTCCTTATCCTCCCTGCTCCCCATCCTCCCTGCTCCTCATCCTCCCTGCTCCTCAACCTCGCTGTTCCTCATCCTCGCTGCTCTTCATCCTCGTTGCTCCTCATCCTCCCTGCTCCTCATCCTCGCTGCTCCTCATCCTCCCTGCTCCTCATCCTCCCTGCTCTTCATCCTCCCTGCTCCTCATCCTCGCTGCTCCTCATCCTCGCTGCTCCTCATCCTCCCTGTTCCTCATCCTCCCTGCTCCTCATCCTCCCTGCTCCTCATCCTCCCTGCTCCTCATCCTCGCTGCTCTTCATCCTCACTGCTCCTCATCCTCCCTGCTCTTCATCCTCCCTGCTCCTCACCCTCCCTGCTCTTCATCCTCCCTGCTCCTCATCCTCCCTGCTCCTCATCCTCCCTGTTCCTCATCCTCCCTGCTCCTCATCCTCCCTGCTCCTCATCCTCCCTGCTCCTCATCCTCCCTGTTCCTCATCCTCCCTGCTCCTCATCCTCCCTGTTCCTCATCCTCCCTACTCCTCACCCTCACTGCTCCTCATCCTCCCTGTTCCTCATCCTCGCTGTTCCTCATCCTCCCTGCTCCTCATCCTCACTGCTCTTCATCCTCCCTGTTCCTCATCCTCACTGCTCCTCATCCTCCCTGCTCCTCATCCTCCCTGCTCTTCATCCTCACTGCTCCTCATCTTCGCTGCTCCTCATCCTCCCTGCTCCTCATCCTCCCTGTTCCTCATCCTCACTGCTCCGCATTCTCGCTGCTCCTCATCCTCCCTGCTCCTCATCCTCCCTGCCCCTCATCCTCCCTGCTCCCCATCCTCACTGCTCCTCATCCTCCCTGCTCCTCATCCTCCCTGCTCCTCATCCTCGCTGCTCCTCATCCTCACTGCTCCTCATCCTCCCTGCTCCTCATCCTCCCTGCTCCTCATCCTCGCTGCTCCTCATCCTCGCTGCTCCTCATCCTCCCTGCTCCTCATCCTCACTGCTCCTCATCCTTGCTGCTCTTCATCCTCGCTGCTCTTCATCCTCCCTGCTCGTCATCCTTGCTGTTCCTCATCCTCGCTGCTCCTCATCCTCGCTGCTCCTCATCCTCGCTGCTCCTCATCCTCCCTGCTCCCCATCCTCCCTGCTCCGCATCCTCGCTGCTCCTCATCCTCCCTGCTCCTCATCCTCACTGCTCCTCATCCTCCCTGCTCCTCATCCTCCCTGCTCCTCATCCTCACTGCTCTTCATCCTCCCTGTTCCTCATCCTCCCTGCTCCTCATCCTCCCTGCTCCTCATCCTCCCTGCTCCTCATCCTCACCATCCAATAGTATTCCCATGGGCATCCTGGCTGTGTGAGGCCTCTTTGCTGACTGTCACCCACTCGTTTGCCCACCCCAGGTAACTGGAGCCTAACGGGGAGCTCTGTGGGGCTGGGATAAGGGGAAGGAGATCTTGGCATCTATGGGACGGCTGCAGGGAGCTGATTTAAAGGAGCAGCACTTAACCACCCCCAAGGCACTTAAACGTTAACATCCTCCCGTTTGCCTTCAGGAGGAGCCAGGGATAATTCCCACTGTTCCCTGCAGCTTGTCCTTGCCGCTAACAGCGTTACAGGAAACGCTTCCATCCCGTCCATCCTCCCCGCCACGCGTCCTCCCCGCTGGAGCGCCATAAACCGGGAATTCCAGCGAAAGCGAGAGAGGGGGGGGGGACGGTTTTCCTTTAGGAATAGGCTCAACCGGAGAGCTTTGCGCTTCTTCCCACCCACAGAACAGAAGGGAAAAGGCCGGGATGGGCACGGGCTCGGCCGTACCTGCCGAAGGCATCCCCGAAGGGGAGGGCGAGCCAGCGCTCGGGCATGGCCCGGAGGAAGGCGCGGCGCTGTTCTCCAGTACCCGGTGCAGCTCCCGCTCCGTGTCCAGCTCGTCCCGGTCCCGGTTGGCCACCAGGACCTTGCCGGTGAAGAGGGAGGCCATGGTGAGCGCTCGGGGATGGGGATGAGGAGGAGCTCGCTGCCGGTCCCGGTTATTAATGACCGCGGATCAGGAGCTAAAGCGGCTTAAAAAGGGGAGGTCAGAGCGGGCCCGGGATGGGGGGGTCCCGTCGGGGCTGTGAGGGGTCTGGTTACGGGGTCCCGCTGTAGTGGGATCTGGGGTGGGGACCGTGAGGGATCCGGTTATGGGGTCCCGGTGCAGTGGGATTGCGGGGGGGGGGGGAGAAGTGATGGACCCGGTTATGGGGTCCCGGTGCAGTGGGATCGGGGGGGGGGAAGTGATGGACCCGGTTATGGGGTCCCGGTGCAGTGGGATGGGGGGGGGGCATCGTGACGGACCCGGTTGTGGGGTCCCGGTGCAGTGGGATGGGGGGGGGGGCACCGTGACGGACCCGGTTACGGGGTCCCGGTGCAGTGGGATCGGGGGGGGGAAGTGATGGACCCGGTTATGGGGTCCCGGTGCAGTGGGATTGCGGGGGGGGGGGAGAAGTGATGGACCCGGTTATGGGGTCCCGGTGCAGTGGGATCGGGGGGGGGGGAAGTGATGGATCCGGTTATGGGGTCCCGGTGCAGTGGGATGGGGGGGGGCATCGTGACGGACCCGGTTGTGGGGTCCCGGTGCAGTGGGATGGGGGGGGGGGCACCGTGACGGACCCGGTTACGGGGTCCCGGTGCAGTGGGATCGGGGGGGGGAAGTGATGGACCCGGTTATGGGGTCCCGGTGCAGTGGGATCGGGGGGGGGGAAGTGATGGATCCGGTTATGGGGTCCCGGTGCAGTGGGATCTGGGGGGCACCGTGACGGACCCGGTTACGGGGTCCCGGTGCAGTGGGATCGGGGGGGGGAAGTGATGGACCCGGTTATGGGGTCCCGGTGCAGTGGGTTCTGGGGGGGGGGGGAAAGTGATGGACCCGGTTATGGGGTCCCGGTGCAGGGAGATCGGGGGGGGAAGTGATGGACTCGGTTATGGGGTCCCGGTGCAGTGGGATCGGGGGCGGGAAGTGATGGACCCGGTTATGGGGTCCCGGTGCAGTGGGATCGGGGGGGGGGGGAAGTGATGGACCCGGTTATGGGGTCCCGGTGCAGTGGGATGGGGGTGGCACCGTGACGGACCCGGTTATGGGGTCCCGGTGCAGTGGGATCTGGGGGGGGGGGGAAGTGATGGACCCGGTTATGGGGTCCCGGTGCACTGGGATCGGGGGGGCACCGTGAGGGACCCGGTTATGGGGTCCCGGGCCGGTTCCGGCCCCCCCCTCCCCATCCCCTCCGGTTCCCCCGGTCCCGTCCCCCCCCCCCATCCGGAGGCGGAGCGAGCCTTGGTGACGCTCAAGGGGCGTTCCTTACGTCACTGCGTCTCGCCCAATCGCAATCCGGCAACCTCACTCTCCACCAATAGAATGTCGCGTTTCCACGCTGCCCCGCCCCTCGGCCGGGAGGAGGCGGGGCTTCACCTCAGGCGGCCGCGGTCGAGGCGGGAGCGGGCGGAGGAGCCGGAGCGGGGTCCCGGTGCCGGTGCCGCGGGCAGGATGCACCCGGCCGGGCTCTGCGCGGCCTCGCTGGGCTCCCTGGGGCTGCTGCGGTTCCTGGGCGCGCCGTGGCCGTGGAGCCTGGCGGCCCCGCTCGCGCTCTGCCTGTGCGGCGGCGGCTGGCGGCTGCTGCGGCTGCTCTGCAGGACGGCTCCGAGGGACCTCTTGTGAGTGCGGCCCCTCCGCGCACCGGGGGGCTCCTCCCGGGGCCTGGGGGGGGGTGGAAGGGCCTTGGGGCCGCTGCGCCCTCTCCGGGGGGCTCATCCCGTGCGGCTGGGGGGGTTTGAGGCCTCGGCGGGGATGTGCCCTTGGGGTTCCGAGGGGTTCCGAAGGACTCCAAGGGGTTTCAAAGGGTTCCAAGGGATTCTGAAGGGTTCCGAAGGGTTCCAAGGGGTTTCCGAAGGGTTCCAAGGGATTCCGAAGGGTTCCAAGGGGTTCCAAGGGGCTCCAAAGGGTTCTAAGGGATTCCAAAGGACTCCAAAGGGTTCCGAAGGGTTCCGAAGGGTTCCAAGGGGTTCCAAAGGGTTCCAAGGGATTCCAAAGGACTCCAAGGGGTTCCAAAGGGTTCCAAGGGATTCCAAAGGACTCCAAGGGATTCCAAAGGACTCCAAGGGATTCCAAAGGGTTCCAAGGGATTCTGAAGGGTTCCAAAGGGTTCCAAGGGATTCCAAAAGATTCCAAGGGATTCTGAAGGATTCCGAAGGGTTCCAAGGGATTCCAAAGGGTTCCAAAGGGTTCCAAGGGATTCTGAAGGGTTCCAAAGGACTCCAAGGGATTCCAAGGGATTCCAAAGGTTTCCAAGGGATTCCGAAGGGTTCCAAGGGATTCCAAAGGACTCCAAGGGGTTCTGAAGGGTTCCAAAGGGTTCCAAGGGGTTCCAAGGGGCTCCAAAGGGTTCTAAGGGATTCCAAAGGACTCCAAGGGGTTCCGAAGGGTTCCAAGGGGTTCCAAAGGGTTCCAAGGGATTCCAAAGGACTCCAAGGGGTTCCGAAGGGTTCCAAAGGGTTCTAAGGGATTCCAAAAGATTCCAAGGGATTCTGAAGGATTCCGAAGGGTTCCAAAGGGTTCCAAGGGATTCTGAAGGGTTCCAAAGGACTCCAAGGGATTCCAGGGGATTCCAAAGGTTTCCAAGGGATTCCGAAGGGTTCCAAGGGGTTCCAAGGGATTCCAAAGGGTTCCAAGGGATTCCAAAGGACTCCAAGGGATTCCAAAGGGTTCCAAGGGATTCCAAAGGTCTTCAAGGGATTCCAAAGGGTTCCAAGGGATTCCAAAGGGTTCCAAGGGATTCCAAGGGGTTCCAAAGGGTTCCAAGGGGTTCCAAAGGGTTCCAAGGGGTTCCAAAGGGTTCCAAGGGATTCCAAAGGACTCCAAGGGATTCCAAAGGGTTCCAAGGGATTCCAAAGGCTTCCAACTCCAAGGGATTCCAAAGGACTCCAAGGGGTTCCAAAGGGTTCCAAGGGATTCCAAAAGACTCCAAGGGGTTCCGAAGGGTTCCAAAAAGGGACAAAAGATTCCAAGGGATTCTGAAGGGTTCCAAAGGGTTCCAAGGGAGGGGTTCCAAAGGACTCCAAGGGATTCCAGGGGATTCCAAAGGTTTCCAAGGGATTCCGAAGGGTTCCAAGGGGTTCCAAGGGATTCCAAAGGGTTCCAAGGGATTCCAAAGGACTCCAAGGGGTTCCAAAGGTCTCCAAGGGATTCCAAAGGCTTCCAAGGGATTCCAAAGGTCTCCAAGGGATTCCAAAGGGTTCCAAGGGATTCCAAAGGCTTCCAAGGGATTCCAAAGGCTTCCAAGGGGTTCCAAAGGGTTCCAAGGGATTCCAAAGGACTCCAAGGGATTCCAAAGGACTCCAAGGGATTCCAAAGGGTTCCAAGGGATTCCAAAGGCTTCCAAGGGATTCCAAAGGCTTCCAAGGGGTTCCAAAGGGTTCCAAGGGATTCCAAAGGACTCCAAGGGGTTCCAAAGGGTTCCAAGGGATTCCAAAAGACTCCAAGGGGTTCCGAAGGGTTCCAAAGGGTTCTAAGGGATTCCAAAAGATTCCAAGGGATTCTGAAGGGTTCCAAAGGGTTCCAAGGGATTCTGAAGGGTTCCAAAGGACTCCAAGGGATTCCAGGGGATTCCAAAGGTTTCCAAGGGATTCCGAAGGGTTCCAAGGGGTTCCAAGGGATTCCAAAGGGTTCCAAGGGATTCCAAAGGACTCCAAGGGATTCCAAAGGTCTCCAAGGGATTCCAAAGGCTTCCAAGGGATTCCAAAGGCTTCCAAGGGGTTCCTGCCCGTTGCCTGCAGGGCTGCTTCCTCCGCCTTGCCCGGCAGAGGCTGGGGCCGGAAGAAAGCCCTTTGAGAGCACTGCAAAAGGCTCCTGTGTTCCCGGCTTGGCAGCGGGCAGGCTCGGCCCTTGCCAGGAGCCCGGCGCTGCAATGCCCTTCCCCCTGCAGTGGGGCTGCATCCAGCACCCCTGCATCCTGCACCTGACCCTGAGCTCGGGGAGCTGCGGCCCTTTCAAAGGGCTGATATTAAATGACCTTTGGGGCCCTGGGGAGCTTGCCAAGGCCCTTTCCTGCACAGCACCCTCCTAACGGCACGCTGGGGAGATGCTGCCGGTGCTGGGAAGGAAACGGGAGCCCCGGCCCTGCTGCTGCCCTCGTTTGGGTGCTGAGCGGGGTCATTCTCATTGCTGGGTTATAGCCCCTGCACCCCTGAAGGCAGGGACGCTCAGGCAGCAGCTTAGCACCCGGCTGGAGCTGCGTCGGGGTTTGCCTCGTGGCTGCTGCCTTGAAGGCTTCAAGTGGCCGTCGATTCTAGGTCGTGAACTCCCAAATTCCCTGCATTGTGGAAGGAAAACCTCCACCTCCTCGGCACCGTCGGCTTTGGGCGTGCATCGAGCAGGGTGTCACACAGCCATAAGGGAGCCCTGACTTTGGAGCAGCTTGCTGAATAACAGGGGTAACAGTAATAGGTTATGCTCTCGATGAATAGGCAGCATCTTAGATAGGAGCTGTGAGGGTGGCAGTCCGACAGCCTGGCTTCCTTGGCAGGGAGGGAGCCCCAGGAGGATGCTCCTGCTTGCAGGGGAAAGGAGAAACCTTTGCTTTCTGGAAGCTGAGCTCCCTTGTTAGCGAAGGGGCAGGATGGCTTTGGCCTTTCCGTGCTTTTGGGGCCACTGCAGATTAGCCTGGCATGAAGCACGTTTGCTTCCCATAGAGGTAAAAGGTTGCCAAGGCTTTTTCCTTTAGGGTGGCAGAATAGATGGTTGAGAGAGGTCGTTTACCCTGTTTAATGGGCTTGTTTGAGCTGGCATCAAGGTGAAGGTGGATTCCTCGGGGTTTATAGCTCCAGAACAGCTGCGGTGCCCTCCTTCTTCACCCCAACACGAACGTCTTCCTTATAGCAGCAGTGACTGGAAGTTCTGTTTTCAGGGTGACGCTTTGGCTGTCCGTGGGCAAGGGGGTGACGGGCACCCTG